CCCTCCAAGCTGTGGAAGTGATACCGTACTTCTGCTAATGGCCGTCTGCCCCATGGCTTCTTACTACTGGTCACTGGAAACCCCCACAGAGAACTCAAAACAGGAAATGCAACATAACTGAAGAGAAGCCACATCTTTGTTCCTCTCTCTTGACCTTCAAAAGTAACAAAGTGCTATTTTTGGAGCAGTTGCTGCAGGGTGGAATTAAGCTAGTTATCCTGTCTTGCCCTTCAGAGGCTGCCTTCTTACATGTATCACCATTTGAAATTTTCCTCTTCCATCAGGCAAAAGGGGATGTTGCTGGTGGGGGCAGTAATCATCCTTTGAGGCACCACAGCAGGCCCAGTGACAGCTAAATAGCCCAGTGACTGCTACAGGGGGCTGTCATTTTTCCCGTTTGCTCACGAATGTTAAGAACATAAGAACTGGCATTTACTGGGTCAGACAATAGGTCCATCTTGCCCAGCATCCTGTGTCACACAGTGGCAGAGAATGAGTGCTGAAAGGGAGAGTGAACAAGGTACGAGGGATTTTGTCCCCTGTTCCTCTCTCACTTGCAGCCTAGGTCTAGGAAATTCTGATTCAGAGGCTATATCCCTAACCCCTATGCTCAATAGCTACTGGTACCCCTTTCCTCCAAGAATGTGTCCAATCTCTTTTTGAATCTAGCGAAATTGTTGGCTTCCACAACATCGAGTGGCAACAAGTTCCATACTTTCAGGGCACACTGTAAAAAAGAACTTATTTTTCTTAGTTTTAAACTTACCACCTACTAGTTTCGTTTTATGACTTCTGGTTCTTGTACAGTCTGAGAGAGTAAATCATAAAGCCCTTTTTAATTTCTCTTCACCATTTACTATTTTGTAAAACCTTATTGTGCCCCCTCACCTTTGCATCTCTTTTCTAAACTGAATAGGCCCAGCCTCTTTAGTTTCTCCTCATATGGAACCTCTCCAGATCGCTAATCATCCTTTTTGCCCTTGTCTGGACCTTCTCTAGTTCTTTTATATCCTTTTGAATGTGTGGGGACCAGAACTGGGCACAGTATTCAAGGTGTGGATGCACCATGGGCTTATAAGGGGGCATGATGATACTGTTTTGTTTACAATTCCTCTCTTAATGATGCCTAACATTTTGTTTGCCTTTTTGAAAGCTGCTGATCACTGAGCTGATATTTTTAGCAAATTGTTCACAATGACTCCGAGATCTTTTTTCTGTATGGTCACAGCTAATGTAGAGTCCATCATTTTCCTCTAGAGCAGTCTGCCATTGGCAGAGTTGTAACACCTTCACTTCAGCTCAGCTGTAAAGGTCACCAACTAAACTGCACGCGTGCAACATGGGCATAGAAACACAGCTAAAACATAGGTCTTCACCATGAGAAAGGAGTCATGGAAGCCCTTTTAGGGGGACGTCCTGCCACCACTCTCAAGCCTGTCAGAGATCTCAGGAACAATGTTCCTGGAGTGGTTTCATGCCCTCATTTCTAGGCTGGAGGTGTTAAAATAGGAGAAAACAGGTGGCACATGCTCAAAATTGATGTTCCCCAGCAGTGCACATCCCCAGTGGGCATCGTATCCATAGCCATTGTCATGAAGACATGGGATGACCATCAGCAGCTCCAGAACTTGCACATGAAAAAACAGCACTTCATGAAGCTTACCTTGACTCTTCAGCACCAGAACTTGCAAATATCCAGGAGCAGGTGTTGCACTAAATTTAACCATGGTTGAGAGTGAGACTGATGATACAATGAGACCATTCCAGTTACAATTCAGAAGTTTTATTAGGATACACGATAGCAGAGGCTTATTTGGATCAATAAAGACAATGTTCATGTAGTCTTGGATTCAGGGAAAAATCAGGTCTGCCAGCCAAGCTTCTCTGTTTCCTTGGCAAGTTGAGGTGTTTTGCTGAGTCCCAGATGTCCCAGCCACCAGCGGAGGGTTTGGGATTGAGAGTACGGTCAGGGGTAGAAAGGTAAGAAAGGTTTATTGACTTAACAAAAACACAACTACACGTAGTAACAAGACAAACAAGAATAATAGACAAGAATAATGACAGACAAGAATAATTCACATCAGCAGCTTATCGGCAGTCCCCTCTGATGCCTGATGTACGACAAGTTTCTCTTTCCACAAAGCTCAGCAAAGTCAGATGTCTACGATCAGCGCCGTCCAAGAGGTACCAGGAAGCACCCTGGTATTCAGTCCTTGGACTCCTCGAGATCCACAGGCCCACTGATCCAGGTCAATAGCTAATTCATCCTTTTCACAGAGCTGTATCTTCCTTTTAAATGATTTCCGGATGTTTCAGCCAATTTATAACTTCTGAATTGTGCTGATAACTTACAGCCACTTAGATTCTTTTTACTTCAACTGTCCTTAGACTGACCAATAGCAGTACAAGCCTTGCATTCCTTTGATAAGGTTAATTTTAACTATGCCACAGGGCTTTACTACTTCAAGGCTTTGCTAAATTTACTAGGCCTTACTACATCTTAAACTTTAATTAGGCTCTTAGCAACAACATATAGCTTAATATCTAAACAAATGACAGAAAAAACACTTGGTTTAATCTTCATAGAGCCTTCAGCAAGCACCTTTATCACACAGACATAATTTTCAGCTATCACACCAGAGAAGTCTAAGTCCAAAAGCAGAAGTTCAAACTTTCAACCAGCTTATGCCCAATATTTATAGATGACTGGTTTGAATATTTTAATGAATGATCTCAGATTGGTTGTATTTAAATTTCTTTGTTTCACTGAAACTTTCAGAACCAGGTTCAACTAGAGTTCTTGGGGGCCAAAAAGGTATCAGTCAGATGGGATTTATATCTGTGTGAAAGCAAGAGAAGCAAAAGGAAGGCTTCCTTATCTCCTTTCTCTTCCCATTGTGGAATGTTGTTTCACACTGATTTGTTATTTTTTCACCTTAGCTTATGATCTGACAAGGCTGTTTTGCTTTTACAATGTATTTAAGCATTCTAACAAAAACATATCTAGTATAGCAACATAACATTCAATACATTTGTTTACATTAATCACTACTACTAATTATTTTAAGATGAAGCTACGATATAGAGTATTTGGATTATTTGATGTACAGTTTTTTCTTAGAGTGTTTCCTTTTAGGCCTTGTGCTTGGTTTGACTATGTCTAATTAAACAGACAATAATCAAATGGCTTCCTCTGCTTTGCTGACCAAGCTAGTTGCTATTTCTGCAAAGGTTTATGCTATGGTCATTCAGATTCAGGTTTCTGAGGGCTTCTGTCTTAGTTACCTTTCTGCAACTTAAGCCTAGACCTCTTGAAAATGGCCAAGCCTGGCAACAACATGGACATGGCTTATACAGCACAGGCCTATGTCCAGCCTACATAGCTTAGTGAGGAAGTGAGGGAAAGGCTTTATTGCCTGTTCTCCAAATACTGGGAGTTCCCTTAGGGGTCACCCATCTTAGCACCTAGATAGGTGGACATGTGGTTCGCCATGTTAATGTAGCAAGCTTTCCTTTCAGAGCTTGGGTTGAGTCCCAGGTTTGCAATCCTGCTGTTTTGATTGGTGGAGCCCATCCACCAATCAGGAGGCAGCAAGAGAAATAACGCCACGCCCCTTTCCTGAGTGTCGGGGAGAAGAGCTTTCCCAGACCTGATTGAAGACTGCAAACTGTTAGGTCTGGAAGACTTCAGGGGCGGAGCCCTGGAGCATATAAAAGGAGCTGTGCACTGAGGGGTAGATGCATGGGGACAAAGAGAGAAGCGAGGGGCTTAGAAGAGCTGAGGAGAACTGCTCAGCAGGGCGAAACAGTAGCCCAGGAAGAGCTCCTGAAGACTTCTATCAGTGGGGAGCGTGGCACGGCTCCAGTGGTTAGGCTCTCAGTGCGCAGCATGGCGCACAGCGTCCAGATCCTGGGAGCTGTGTGCAGTGGCTCAGGTCTGCAACCTCTGGCATGCAGCCAGAGACATGGTGCACAGGGTAGTGCACAGAGCAGGATCTTTGTGGTCCCTGGGGCAGCTCAGGTCCTCAAACCCCAGAACAAGGCTGGGAGCTTGGTGCAGGAGACGCTGCACAGAGGGTGAGAGACCCTGGGAGCTGCTTGAGGTGGCTCGGGTCTACAGCTGCTGACATGGGGCAGCAGCTTAGTGCAGATGATGCTGCCCAGAGGGTCCAGGAACAGACTGAGCCGCTCTAATTAAAATGCCATCCCCCTACCCCAGAGCACATGTATAGACACCCTTAGAGAGTAACTGGTTCAGAGAAATGAAGCATCTGATGGAGTTGGTTGCACACACACAAATTCATGCCTCCCTGAACCAGTTAGTTTCTAAGGTGTCACCCTGACCTTCCTCCTATCTAGATTGGGGCTACGTATTAGAAGGGACCTGATACCCCACTGCTGGCCAAAAGAGCATGCTGTCCTACATGGCAATCCAACAACAAGTGAATTTCTAATATAACTGAGGAAAAAAGCAAACCCCATGCTATTTTTTTAACGTGATCTTTCAGGGTTGGCATTTACCAAAGGACAAGCTAGTAATGTGCCAGCACATGGAAAATACAGGACAGCATAGAAACACACCCATTTTCCAGGCTGTGCTATTCCCTGGTGAACATGAGATGAAATACATGGCATGTCATGTCTCAGCTGGGACATGAGTTTAGAGGAGCATAAAATAAGTTTTTTCACTGTTGTTCAGTTAAAGATTTGGCAGGAAGAAAGAGAGCCACATACAGATTGGGGCTGATACTGACCCTGAGCAGTTGTGAGATTTCATTGAGGTCTATGATGCCAGCACTGGAATGTGCACAAAGCTTTAGCTCTATTCACCACAGTGAGGGGGAAGAAGAAAGCTCTTTTATATGGGTTAGTTATCCTTATGACTTTATCAGTGGTACCTGTGGCATGGACTGTGCTGATGTCACAGCTAGACTCTAGCTCCACCTTTCTCCTCATTCTGAAGGCTGCAAATAGCTTTAGAGACAGACTCTGCACTTGCTGGTTTGCTAATTCACAGCTTCCTTTTTTAACTCAGCAGATGCAGGAGAAGGAGCCTAATGTCTTGGCGTGAACTTCTTCCCCCTTGCCTAGTTATTGTAGCTGGGCTAACTGGGATCCTGCTGCTTTGTGTCTCTACTAAAATTGTCAAGATCCCCCCTAGGAGCAAGGTAAGGTGCACTGTGCCTGAGTTGGGTTTAGCCAGGCATAAGGCTTGCAAGGGCTTCTGGTGTTAATGGTGGCATTAATGCGCACAGAACACTAATCTTTTTGCCTTAATGAAGGGAACCTATCTTTTTGCTCAGGCTTTACTTGGAGTATTTTGTCTAGGTCCTTAACAAGTACCTTGTTGTCTCATTGTTAAATACTGTACTATTAAGTAAACTACCTCAATAGCAAAATTAATCAAGCATTGTTCCTTCCCCTCTAAAGGGACATAAGTCAAAGCTTGGTACATAGTACTTCCTCTAACCTGAGGCAGCTAGCAGTTGCAGCAAAGCCCAGTATCAGCAAAGGTCAGTTTTGCCAAATATTCATTACTGAAAACCGCCTGGTGTTTGCAAAACTTTTCAAGTTGGGACACTGCATGAAAATATTTGCTGCTAGGTCTGTCCTTGGTTAAAACCCACAGGCAAGATGTTCAAATAACACAAAACAATGTTTTTGACCATACGATCAAGTTCAGTTTGACCATGAGCATGCACCCTTTTTATTTGTGTTTGATAACCGTTAGTATAAGGAAGTTTGTCAGCTTAGATAATCAGGGCATATCTTTTTATTGCACAAATTCCTGCATTTGCAGACTAAGAGAAGAACTTGCACTTGACCAAAATGATTTGCTATTCTCCTAAAGGTGTAGCTGTCCAAATGCGAAACAAACAAAATAATGTGATTTAGGTGTCCACCTGGGCAACCAAGCTGTAGGCCAAATAGTGCTTCATCCATGTAGCAACTACATAATAGTGAATGCATTTTCAGGGCTCAGGTTTGGTTCTTATAAGAAGAGCTAAAGGACATTTTCATAGGTCTTTGTGGAAGTTCATGCCCATTGTAACTTAGTAGGAATTAGGTGCTGAATTGCACTTTGTGCAATTGGTTCATCTAGTTTTCTCTGTTGTGCAGCAGCTCACATGTTCTTACAAATCCTTATTACAGACTTTAAATGGGGCTCCCACTGTCAACAGGCAGCATTGCCAGATTGTGCCTAGACATTTTTAGTATATGCAACATTGTGGTACAGTAATAATTGTCATGTTATATTTTTGGCACAGGGCTATCTTGCCCATTACTCATAAAGCAGCCAGTTGTATTTCTTGCTTTCCTCTTTCATTTCCCACTTCCTCCAGCACTTTGCAGACAGCTAGGTGTTATATGGTGCCCTGAAAACACAGCCCTGCCCCATCAACCATTGAATTCATGCTGAAAGCAACTGTCTGAGTGGGTACCCAGCAGGAAGTTACTTTCTGTGATTAGCCTGGCCCTTGTTCATTAGGCAGGACTTGTAAAATCTACTTGTGCATAATGAGTGAGAAGATTCCTCTACAGATGTGCCACCAACTTTTGCAGAATCAACATTTTAATTTAAAGAAAGTTTCTAGCCTGGTTATAAACCTCAGTTTACACATGTGTATGGGGAATGCTTGATGAAACAAAGTCTGGTAAGTTTCATTTGTCTGGCCTCGATGCTCTGACCAGCAGGTAGGAGGCTGGATCTATTCATGGGGTAGGTGACTTGTAAGATCAAGACTGAAGATGAGAAAGGAATAACACTAAAAAAAAAAAGAAAGGGTTAGAGTAGCAGAGAGCCACTCCATCACAGCAGGCACCATCTACGAGAATAATCACAGGGGGTTACTCTTGCAGCTGGCCATACTGAGTACTTGTGCAATGTAGCACAAACCTGTAATAACAAGAGTGTGAACATGTGTGCAACAGGAGAATATCTATGTATGATCTTGTGGGTTTTTTTCAGTATGGCATTGTTCTGGATGCTGGGCCATCCCACACTACCCTTTTCATATACCAGTGGTCAGCCAAGAAGGAGAATAACACTGGGGTGGTCAGTGAACACAGCACCTGTACTGTGCAAGGTAAGATAGCTGATTTGCTGCTACTGAGTGGATGTCATTTATTTCTGGCACTGGATGGATGGAAACTAAGGAAACTTGTTTTAAAGACATTTCTTTGCAAGCTTCTTGAGTCAAGCATCCTATATAGTTAAAGATCAGGTTGCTGATGATACTGAAGACTCGGCAGCCCAATCTTTCTGAGTGGTCTTTATACATGGGTAGCTATCACCCTTCACTTGAGGATCTCTGAGCAACTAGAGGTGAGTGTTTTTACTTCCACCTTACAGATGATGAAATGGAGGCACCAAGAAGATCTCACAGCTGAAGTTCTAACAATGAATTAGTGGCAGAGCCAAACATACCAACTCTCCTTCCTAAGGCATTTCCCAGTGGAACAATAATGGATGACAGCAGAAGCAGAACTAATCACAGTGGGACTTACATATATATTTTAAAAGCTTTTAATTCTGAAAACTGCTTTCTGCAAGATCAGCTCTTGCAGAAATCAAAATCCCATGTCTAGCCTTCTTCACTGTAAAGAAGCTTCCTCAAGCTTTCTTCGATACCTGAAGAAAACTGCCTCTAGTTATCCTATTGTAGCAGCAAAGATGTCAAACCCTTGTCCTCCCTTACGTTTAATTCAGCAAAGAGAGGAAAGAGCTCTGCCTGTCACCCGCAGCTCACACTCCTAAGTGGTGAACTGTGGTTAGATGTGTTAACATTACAATTATGGTAGTAAGCAGTTCGTAACAGCCCTAGTTACATCTAGCATCGATAATGCTCACCCAGCAACTTTTCTAACCATCTAGTCAGCCACGGCCTGTCACTAGCCTAGAGCTTTTGCATGTTATTAGCTGCATTTGTACCAGTGAATGCTGGGAAAATCTGAACACCTCTCACACTATTGTGGTTCTCCAGGGGAGGGGTGCTGGATGAACAGGCACAGAGCAGCACTCTCAGCACGTGTGGCAGTGCACTCTTGGGATGCCTTACATGGAAAACTGGGAAGGAGGAGGAACAGAGTGAAATCCAAAGTCCATAGTTAGGCCCCTAAACTTCTGAACCTGAGGAAAGTTAGGGGCTTCAGAACACCTGGCACGTTAAGTGGAGACAACCTAAGATGGTCAAAATGAAATGCTGAGGAAGAGGCATGCCATGCCCCCTTCAGGGCTTCCATAGCTAATTCTACTTGGGATTCATAGCCCTGACTCCTCTCCTGGAATTAGGCATTTAAACCCTTTTGGACTGGAGTTTGCTTCTTTCTTTTAAAATAACCAGGGGAGGAGATAGTGCTTTTGATGCAATAGCTCAGGGCATTTACTCATGATGTGGGAGACCTGGGTTCAGTTCCTTCCTCTCTCTGAGGGGGTACAAACACACACCTTCCACTTCTCTGGAGAGTGTCCTCACTACCAGGGTCTCAGCTGCTCCAGGGTGGTAGTGTTCTTTACTCTTCCTTTGAAGCTGTGCAGAAAAAAAACTTAATTAGGCCAGAGAAAGGGAGCAAGAGGAAGTGTGACTGTACCCTGCTAGTTTAGTAATGCAGCTGGTAGGAAGGACTTGTGGGTTCCAGGACTGAGCTCCGTGCTGCTGTGGCCACATGTCTGCATAAACTGCAGTCATACCTTGGGTTGCGACATAGGCATATCCTAAGCTTTCATTACAAGCCTAATTTCTTATTCTCCTTTTCAAATCTACAAACAAACCGTGAAACATTTGATATAAAACTATAACTCTGAACACTGTATGTTATTTCATGACTAAGAATGCATTTGTTGTTACTATCTTCAAGCCTAGGCAGAGTAAACCTAAGACAGATTTTTTTTTTAAATCAAACTTCAAGGAAACTGAACAAGGGTCACTTAAATCCAATATTGGCATGTATATTAGAGACCAAAAAAATGGATCTAACATTGGCACTCTGTAGCAAAGGAAAATTGGAGAAAATATAGCTTAATCTATTTCTTTTCTCAAGAGCCAATATGTGGGTCTAAAGATTATTGGCTAAATTCTAACTTTAAAATCTTCCCACAATTACCACTGCAAATAGCTTTCACCCAGTACTACATTCTTTCCTTCTGATCCTACATTTAATAGTCTATTCTGAAATTATGGGAATATCATTGGGTTCCTACCAGTGTTTTATCCTTAATGAATAATAATGACTGAGGCAGGATCTGATCTCCAGGACACATCCTACTGAAGCCTGAAAGAGAAAGGGTAATAACTACCGTATATGTTTAAGCCTAGCAAATACATAAATAAGCAGCCACAATCATGGTGTACAGGTACTTATTTAGGAAAACACTTACACGTACATAAAATCATTAGTATTCATGAAAGTCTGGGTTTAAGTTTTAAACACCTACTTGTATTTAAAGGCATGATTTCTTAAACTGGCTCATAATCAAACCAAGTTCAAGAGCTATTAAACTGGATACCTGATAACAATGGGCTAGTCCTGTATAACTCTAAACACTGTACATTATTACATGACAAAGAATGCATCTGTGGTTACCAGGGATCCTGGTTTTCTGTTTAAAAATTGTAAATTCTCTGATAAAAAACTACACATTTTCTGATTAAAATACCCCAAATCTGTTATTTAAATTAAATGCCACTATATATCAGTTGAACACAATGTTTTATTGATATATTTACAATTTTAAAGCACTTTGGAACCCTACCAGTGCCTCAATCATTATAATAAAAGAAATTCTAAATACCTATATATTTTGGCATTTGATTTTGGGATTTTTATCATGGAAAAATCAGAGCTTCCCCTATTCGCTTTGTGTGGCAGGACAGAATGAAGCCAGGCAGAGAGGCTTATGGTGCTGCTGGGAGCTCCATGCCTCCATGGTTAGGTGCCCCCTGCCTAACCAGCAGCAGCAAGGGACACAATGCTGTGCTGCCACCCTTGCTGCTGCTGGGAGGGCAGGAGGCGCCACGCCATGGTTGTACGGGGCTCAAGGCGGCAGCACCTAGCTTCCCTGCCCCGCTCTGCCCTGCTATGCTGGGTCCTGCCCACTGGGCTGTGAAGGCCCTGGCGGTAGGGCAGCAGGGAAGGGAGCCCTGAGCCCGCAGCAAGCAGCCCGCACCCACCCTGTGCACAAATCTGGGGGGCATGTTTCTCCCATGCCCCCCCTGGAGTGTGTGCAGTGCCGGGGAAGCAGCTCCCTGGATGACCCAGCCGTGGCCTTGTCTCACTCTCCAGCAGTGCCCTGTGCCTGCACGTGGCCCCATGCTAGGCAGCAGCCCCAGCCCTAGCCCTGCCCAACTCCTGCCCTCCCACATACATGACTGCCTTCCTCCAACTCCCTCTAGCCCCTTGCAGGCTGGAACTCTGCCAGCCTTCAAGGGAAAATCCACCATTTCCTGTGTTTTTCTTCTTTAAAGGAAAAAACACAGGTTTTTCTGCATTTTTCCGTGGTGAACGGAAAACCCGGATCCCCGGTGGTTACTGTTTTTACACGTAGAGTAAACACAAATGTTTGTTGTAAGAGATTTTTCTAGTTCATCGGTTCTCAACCTTGTTAGACTCAAGGCACTTGTAGTTAGATTCCTGCACCCCTGATAAAATGCCAGCTCCTAGTTTTCACTTGTTTTTTTTGACTACAGAAAAACAACAGACCAATTCTTCTGTTGCAAACATCTCAGAAAGACCACAGCAGATCAGAAATGTTTTTCAGACTATGGATTCCTATTTAAAATCTCTGGGATTGTTTGGGTTTTTTTTATGAATCACGTGTAGGTATTTGCACACCTAACACTGCTAATATTGTGCAGCACCCCATGGCACCATTAAAAGGATCTCATAGCACTGTGGCTGAGAATCACTGTTTTAGCTGTTTATTTTCAAAGTAATTTGTTTTTAAAATATTTTAAGAAAAAAATCACTGTGCGTGCACAGGACACTTCTGGGCTCTGAGCAGAGCCTTCCTGTACAACTGCTGCTGGCAGCCACAGTGACTTTTAGAAACCTTCCTCTACACATGAGGAAGTGGTTTGAGAAGGGAGCAGACACATGAGTCCTGGCTTAGTCTGCTGTGTCTGTGTCTTTGTCTCTTTCTTGAGAGCAGAGGCACTCAGTCATGTCCCTGTGGGTTGCAATAACCTCAGATCTCTAAGTCAGAGCTTTTAGGGCTGATATAGTGTAGCTTGGTAGAAGTGGCTTTGCAGTTCTTGGCCTAAATTTGCTGTGTCCCATTTATCCACATTCATTTTTATCTCTCTGTGCTGAAGCATCATGGTTGAGCATTTCTGCAGGCAGGATAATGGTTCAACCTGGTGTAATATTTGCTGTACAGCTTCGGTCATATCTTTAGAGGTGTCTTAAAGGTGAAATGTCTCTGGCTGTGTCCAGATGTACAAGGGTGTATGCTTGCAGCAGCACAAATAGTAGCAGCACAAATTTGTTCCACTACTTTGTGCTGAAGCACAAGCCTCTGCATATGCACTTTGTTGTGGGACACATTATTGTCCCAAACTGCCCATGCCCAGCTCCTCCCAGCTCCTGGCATGCTGCTTTGACTGGGCTCCATGTGCTGTGCGGGGCTAGCCAGCAGGCAGCTGTTGTGCTGAGGTACCCTGTAACCCAGCTGGACAGCAGCAAGTGGAGACAGGGGAGCAGGCAGCCCAGGGCACACCTCCTCCCATCTCTGTGCACTGTGGAGCCTCTGCACTGAGGGACGCTGCACCCCAGCCAGCTGTGAACATTGCAGCAAGGGACATTCGAGCTGGATATTAGGAAAAACTTTCTTGCTAGGATGGTGGTGAAGCACTGGAACAGATTACCCAGAGAGGTGGTGGAATCTCCATCCTTGGAGGATTTAAGGCCCAACTCGACAAAGTGCTGGCTGGGATGATCTAGCTGGGGATGGTCCTGCTTTGAGCAGGGGGTTGGACTAGATGACCTCCTGAGGTCCCTTCCGATTCTCATTTTCTATGATTCTAAGATGAGGGAGCAGGCAGCCCTGGGCTTGCTGCTCCCCCGTCTTCACATATCTCAGTGTGGGGGCTCCATGCTTGTCTTGGCACATGCTATTTTGGTGTGCTTTGCACTATTTCAGCTTTTTTGCTACTGGGAAATCTCTGTAGCAAATTATTAATTTAATGTGAAATGCATGCAGTTTGTGGTGCCACAAATCGCACATGCCTGCATGTGTGGATGTGGCCTCTGTGTCTAAAGGCTCCTGACCCCCTCCATCAGTTCATTCTGTAGTAATATTTCTTGAGTTTCTTTCCTGCATTTACCATAGGCCCTGGAATCTCTAACTACTCAACATGCCCTCAAGAAGCTGGAAACAGCCTAAAGGCATGCCTGAAACAAGCAATGGAGGCAATTCCGGAGCAACAGCACAGCCAAACCCCTGTCTACCTGGGAGCAACTGCTAGCATGAGGCTGCTTAAGTGAGTGGAGGTTTCAATTGCTCATTTATAAACTACATAACATTGTCTTCTACTCTCTGTTCTATAATAATGGTTCATCTTTGACTATACTGAACAGGTAAGCTTGGCCAGCAGAAAAGACAAAAAGCCTTAGGGTGGTTGTACGTATGACAGGGGTTTGGTCCATCGGGTTACAGTCTATGCCCCCTAAATTGAGTTTTTAACTGAAACCTCTCCATTTCAATTTCCATCACTGTATAAGTGATTGTCCTGGCAGCTGCAGGTGTCTGCTGAAGGTACAAGTGGCAAGCGGCCTGATCATTCCCCCTCTCCCCCCTACCACCTCGGGGAAGCCTGCCTGCCTCTCCCACAGCACCTCTCCCACCTTAATCTGGGCCAGTGATCTGTCAGCTCACCTCCTGGCCATGGGAGAGGCGGGCAGGCTCCACCAAAAAGAAAAAAGGTTGGGCCCCCCCTTCCTGCATCTACCTTCAGCAGGCTCCTGTAGCCAGCAGGAGCCTGGGGCTGCCTGGGAACGGTCTGGTTTGCCCCTGGTGCAGCGTAGGGAGGTGGCAGGAGTGTGGCAGTGTTTGCTGACAGCTGGAGAAGGTGGCAGGAATGGTGCATAGGGTGCTGGAAGCCCAGGCAGGCTCAGGGAAGTGCTGGATCAGGCGCCTCCAAGCTGGGGCAGCACCCAACCAGCTAGCAGCGCACCCAGGCTTCCAGCACCCTCTGCACTGTCCCCACCTCCTTCTCTGGCCACCAGCAAACCCAGCTGCCCTCCTGCCATTTTCCCGAGCTGCCTCAGGGGCAAGCCAGGCCATTCCCAGGTGGCCCCAGGTGCAGGAACCTGCTGACGGCAGAAGCACTGAGAGGCCTGAAACTTTTTTCCCCTGTGGAGCCTGCCCGCCTCCCCTGTGGCTGGGGGCAAGCTGACTAATGGCAACCTTGCTAACTAAACTATGTTGGGAAGTTTGCAATGATGCAAACTCATTTAAAACCCACAAAACTCAGGGACATGTAATGTCTGATGCCATTAAGCCATGCAAAAGAGAATTTTTGTCACATGTCCATCATGACACTGTCACAGGGACAAGCATCTTTATTTGTGCTACCAGCTAATTTACAGTCTTCCTTACTGTTTGTGCTGATGAGGAAGCCTGCATTTTTGGAAGATGAAATGTGTGCAGGGTAGGTAATTTAGCTGGTATTAACCACGTCTTTCTGTAACGCATGGATATGTGCCAGGGATACTTGCCAGAATGCTGCAAGCTGTAGCGTGAATGTCCACTGTGTCCCAGGAACTTATGTGGCTTCCATTACTGGTTTCCATGTTAGCTGAGCACCTCTCAATATTTATGGTATTTATCCTCACAACACCCCGAGAAGGAAGGGCAGCTCTGGTTTGCTCCTTCAACAGAGGAGGAACTGGAGCATAACCACCTGAAATGATTTACCTATGGTCACACAGGCAACCTGCTGTGGAGCAGGGGGGCTAAGCCTGTTTCACCCAAATTCTAGGCTAGGGGCCTAAACAGTGAAATCATCCTGAGACCTTAGTTTTTGCTTCCACAGTCTGTATGTAGTTGTTAGGCAGCGTGACTGTGCTAGTAATTGGTGCAGCTAGTTAGTGCAACATTACAACTGCATCTTGTTGTGGTAGTTCTCAAAGTAGGCATCATATCAGGAGCACTGATGCAGTTGCCATTTGACATTGTTCCTGGGGCTCCTTATTCACTAACATGCTTCTTTCCTCTTCACTCAGTCTCACCAACCCTGCGCTCTCTGATGCTCTTCTAGCTGCTGTGACCTCCACACTGAAGTCATACCCCTTTAACTTCTGGGGGGTAAAAATACTGTCCAGTCAAAAGGAAGGAGTGTTCCTGTGGGCTGCTGTTAACTATCTCCTGGAAAACTTCATCAAGGTAAAGGGATTATAACGCTGAGTTGTGTCAGCATAATGGAGTGCAGAAGTGACTGGAAGTCTCTCATAATCAAACAGAGAGAGAATGAAGGTAGGTGAAGTGACCTTGATGGTTTGGACCCACCAGAGCTCCTGACAGTGGCTTAAAACAGTACACTTAGGAATGGTTTAAATTCAGTTATGGCTGAGCCATGTTTTGGATGTGTGGTTGGTTGAATAATATCCACCAAATACATCATTTCAGAATGGTGTCTAGCTTTAATAAAGTGCTAGGCAGATCAAAGCACTTTACAAGTGAGAGCAGCATCATTATCCCCATTTTACAGGAGGGGAAGCAGAGGTGAAGTAACTCACCTAAGGTCACCCCAGCAGCCAGTGGAAGGGTCAGAAATAAAACCCAGCTTTCCTCAGTCTCAGTCCAGTGCTTTATCCCCTGGGCCCCACTGCTTCCCATTATTTCAGAGAGAACTTTTTGTCAAGAATTTGTTAAGTTCTTGACAAAAAGTGATCCAGGTCTCTTTCAAAATCCAGCCCCAGTCCGTAGTCTGTACACCCTCTCTCTTGTTCTTTACCAACCATTCCACTCAAATTCTTGAGATCTGCTCCATATGCAAAACTGTCTTGAGAGCATAAATGAGTCTTGTTTATACTTCCCTGGTTCCGTTTCCTCCACAGGTTGGCAGCACTCAATAGTTCTGCTTTGCCTGATTCAGAATCACAAATCTGTATAAAGATTAAACTCCTAGATGTTCAGTTATTGGCTAAAGGGCTGTATTCCACTAGAAAGGCGATTTCATGTGATGTGCAGTGTAGCTCTGGATTTCACACAGGCCTGTCTGTTTGGACAGGTGCAATGCAGAAGCAGCCTCAAAGGGTGGGAGGTTTCGTCCAAAGAGAAAAGCAGTAGTTTGCAGTGGGGACTTGGATGGGGGGGAAGTTGATGTTGCAGAAGGATGGCAGGGGCTGCAGAAGAAGCAGCTTTTGCTCAGGTTGGTACAAGTTGGGGCTCTTCTCTGCTTCTCAGGGTTAGGAAGATCTCTGTTTTTAAAACCTTCCTCTCCGATTCCCTTTGGTCTAGTATGCATGGACAGGACACTGGATCCATTCCAGAAAAGGAACGGTAGGAGTCATGACCCTAAGAAGAGACTCCTTACAGATGACTTTCATGTTGAAAGGAGAAAGCCAAGATCCTGAGAAGGAGGTGATGCTACAGCTGTATGGGCACACATACAAGGTCAACACCCATAGCTTTCTGTGCTATGGCAGGGACCAGGTCCTTAAGAGGCTGCTTTTGAAAGTTGTACAAGTGAGTGTCTGCCAGGGTGGTGCCCACCTACTTCATGACTGCTTCAAACCTGTCACATTAAATGAGTATAACTAAAAAGCAATAAAGTTAGGTCACTGAAGTCAGCTCAGACACCCCGTAACATTGATACTCCCTTAGTACAAGCAAGGAACATGTCTGTAACAAGTAGTTGGCAGTAGGTATGCTTGAACTGAGTAACTTCAGTCTGCTCCAGAAGATAAAATGAGTAATATACAGTTCTCCAGCAGCCCGGGATGCAGCATTTCCTAGCCCTCACTCGCCTCCGAGGGATAGAGCCCGGGGCATTTATGCACATACATTTTTGATCTGCAACATGCTGGAGATCCAGCGTGTCAGAGCAGATTCGATTAATTGCACACTGCACTGCATCATGTGTGGTTGTACCAGTGGCAAAATGAACATCAGCATGGAGAAAATGGTGGTGGTGTGCTTCTGAACTAAAACTCCTTTGATGTGTTTTAGTTCAAAAGCACACCACTGCCATTTTCTCAGTGCTGATGCACATTTTGGCTCTTATACAACTGCATGCAACACAGCGTGGATGCTTTTAAAAGCACCTGAAGCTACAGTGTAATCATATGTATAAATGCCCCAGGTGTCCTGGCTGCTGGTCATACCCCTGCCCTCTAGTGACAATTTAGAGCTTTGCAGGCAAGAAACAATCCTTAACATACAACTGCTCAAGCACATTGTAACTTTAACATTACTTAACCTTCCACAGATTTAGTATGGTCTAATTGTAATATGTAACTTCACCTGTATGTGAAAGGACTGAACTGACATGGATGAAAAAGTTGGGGATGAACTGCTTTGAGAAGGCGGGTTGGACTAGGTGACCTCCTGAGATCCCTTCCACCCCTAATTTTCTATAATGCTATGAAATAAGAATGGAACATTTACTGCAAACTCAAACTGAAAAAGCCTGCTCTTCAATCCTGAAAATGTGTATGACTTATTCAACTCTTTTAACTTTCTCATGCCTCTGCTTCCCTGCTTTGGGATGGAAGAGAAGATCAAAGTATTGTGAGAAAAGCTGTATTTCTGGCTTGGCAAGAAACAAGAAGGAGCTGAAATCCTAGAAGGGGCATTTTTCCTCAGTTTCCAGCCTGGAGGGTGGCAAACACTGGCACCCCCTGCTGAAGCCAGAGTGAGAGCATTCAGCACCGTGTGGGTTTAAGTCCCAACTTGGCACAGGTTAAAACAGTTTAGAGCAGCTAAATGGTTCGGTACTCAGTTTGTAAGAACCTTTTGAAATCTACCTGTCTCTGTGATAAACCTGGTTTGCTGAAGCCAAAGTGTTCTAAGTTTTGTTGCCATTTACCTTCTTGTTACAGACTCTAATCCCTCATTCTCTGTATACCTGTCCCTCTAGGACCAGGGCTATGCAAGAAATGCATCTAACCCCTGCTGGCCTCTTTCCTACTCCCATGAAGTTCTGCTTCATTCTGCGCATGCTGACCCCTGCACTGCCAGTGACGGTCCTTTAAGCATACCTGCCCATGAGAACACGTTTCACATCACTGGCTCCAGTAATTCTTCTGCCTGCCGGAGACTTGTGGGAAAGTTGTTTAATTCGTCTTCCTTCTGCAGCTTTTCAGATTGCCCTCCAAATGGAGCTTACAAGCCTAGTGGAACTAAATTTCTGGTAGGTTCTCATTTATATTAGTGTATGCTTTAAGCAGGAGTCTCGTAAGAGATGCACCCAGGTGACAAGCTGAGAAATATAGTAAAATTAGTAAGTGTGTATGTGCATTCTCTGCTGGAATTAATCGGAATTGGTCTGGCTATATGTAAATGCAGCACTACTTTCTTCCTCTATTGCATGGCTGTCCAGCTTGTAAATGGCCAAGGGCTGCACGCTGTGCAAGCTACACTAGCGAGACTGCACTATTGTGAGCCATGGGCCACTGGGTTGTACCCTCCTACACCATACATGTGGGCACCCCCCCTGCCACACTGCTGCACCATGTCATAGGCTCCCCCAGTGCCACGGGCTGCACCATCTCACTCCCTAGGGAGGATGCAGGAAACAAAAGCTGATGGAGGTGAGGAACTTAGAGGCCCCAACTTCAGCAGCTGCCAAAGAGATAATGGGGGCAGTGATCAGTCAGGTAGGAGGCCAGGGGGCAACACATTAACTTCTCATGGACTGCCAGTTAGATAGCCTTATTCTATTGGACGGAACAAGACCTCTTCAACCATATGCTAGAACCATGAAACTAATAATGGTCACAAATTTTCTTTGAGCTAAAGGGGTAGGGATCTGCAGAAGTGGTCAAAGAATCTGAATTGTGTTACCACAATAGGCTCAGAAGGAAAAGTAGCTCTCCATTTTAATTCGTGGTGTTTTGCAGGAAGCACCATGAGTTACAACAATCCCATGGACGCAACAGACATTCGCTATTGGGTCCCAGAAGTTGGGGAATCAAGCCGCTGTTTATAGCAGCCGTGAGCCTGCAGCTGCTCTCCCCATAGCAATGCTCCTCCTTGCTCCCAGCCCTGGTGCTGTTTTCAGAATGAGAGGGGGGAAAGGGAGTGGAAGAAGCTCATTCTGGGGGTTCCCCAGGGGATGCTGGAGGGTGGGGTAGGTGGATTTGAGTGCCCCCCCCCACCTCAGGGAGGGACTCTAATCCACCCGCTTCATCCTTCAGCAGAGGCTGAAAAAAACTCAGTCTAAACTCCTTTTGATCCCTTTTCCCACTCCCATTCTGAAGACAGCACCAGAGCAGTCCATTACTCGAGGTGCTTGGTTTTGGAGCATTTTCATGCAATGAGGGTTCAGATTGTTGCAGGAGTGGGCCTTTTTACAGCGCTCTGCAGCCATGCACTTGTACTTGGCCACAGAATGAGGTTTGGCCAGATCAGGTGATCCATTTCTGTCTGCACCTAGTGATATTCAAAACAGTGACAGCCTGCTGCTTCACAAGTCCTCTAGGATCTAAGGGCACCTATATATGTGACAGACCTCTTCTCTGATGTGTGCTAATTAGCACACATCGGAGCAGACTCAATTAAGCGAGTCTGCTGGAGCATGCTAATTAGACCACTCTAGCAGCCCCTGTGTCACATGTATTAAGTGTCCCTGCATTCCCAAATGGCAGTGAGGATGCTTTACCTAAAGCTTGCCAAATGAGCTTTAGTTAAAGCATGCCCCCCTGCTGCCATTTGGAAGCATGGGACGCTGAACACTTTTGGCACTGCAGGCACTTTAACTAGAGCGACTCTCAGAGCTGCTCTAATTAAAGCACCTCCCTTCCTCCCCAGAGCACGTGTATAGATGCTCTATATGATCAAGGGTTCAATGCAACTTGCAACATTATCTGTCTGTGTGGTTTACTCACTAACTTTTAGGTTGGAATATTTTCGGTTCAAACACCACAGTGGGATGATGTAGCCACTGTATCCCAGTTTCTCAGTGGTCTGCAGTAAGTTCTGGGGAAAACTTTACAGTAAAAGGTCCTAGATGAGCTCCAAATCTATTTTGGGCTTTTACCTGCTCTAGTATCTGCAGTCACACCTTCAGAATACATGCTTCTGGGGAAAGTAATGAAACGTAGTAGATTGCAGGCCCTAATAAGAGTACCGATTCCCGGCATGTGTGGCCTCCATAATGAGCTCTCTGAGGGCATATATATGATTACTCATCTGCCTCACTTGAGGGATTGAGGGGGTATAATTTTTAATGGTTATTTTTGCCTTGGCCTAGGTAATTTCTGAGATGTTGAATTTCCTGAAGGAGATGGCACCCTATACTGACTTGGGCCAAGCAACTGACTTACTTTGTGGGATGTCTAAGAAAGAGGTAAGTGAGAGAAAACCCACTTGTGTACATGGGGTAGGCAAAGCCCCTTCTGGGACTACAACTCTACTAAGACCTTTGGCTCCTCCATAAGCATATGCAAGACATCTGAAAGCATTTCTGAGTATTGCAGCAGTTCAAAAAACCATAGCACAGAGCAGGGAAGGGGAGATTTTGTCATACTAGAGGACTAGGAAAAAATGTGATCTGTGAATATTTTAACTTTTCAACAATTTTTGTTATTAGCTGAATGAGAAGTTCAAGGAAAGGCCAAACATGTTTGCTGACTACTGTACCCTATCCACTTTTATCTACCATCTACATGCAATGGGATACCAGTTTGACTTGGACAGTTCTGGCCAGACTGCATTCCAGGTCAGTAATGTAGAACGTGATGCTTCAGGTAAGAATTGTCTTTTCAGTGAGTTAGATAGGAGTGCCTTAGATAAGATGGGCCCTCTTTCACAGTTATTTTGTGCAAGGTTGCATGGACCTTATTGTTCCTGGCTGACCGTCAGTTCTTCCCAGGAAAATATTTTTTTTTCTAATCTGATTTTCCCCACAGTCAGAACTGAAACAGATACTTTCACTCAGATGGACAGAACCTGAACCAAGCAATTCTCCTCAGTACTGTATCTTTTTATAAAATAAGTTCATTATTATGATAAACAGGTCAGTCAGCCAAGCCTCAGAAAAATATACTATACGTTTCTATTATGACTATTACAAGACTTGACACACATCATAAGCAAGCAGGTTAAAATTCCAACAAGCAACTGTGCATCTATTGAAACAAACCATAACATGGGGGACATGAGACTTTCATAATTAGTGGAGGAAGGCAGATAGCCTGGAACGTATTTAAAAAACAAAGGTAAAAAGATGTCTTCATGGATTTCTGACTGGACAGTTTGGTCTGAGTTAAGAGATCCTGAGTGTCAGGATCAACCAGGCCATGGGTGGCCAGTCACTTAGTGACTGGCTAGGGGTCACACCAAGTATCTGTGGCAGTCCAAGTCATCACATCAAGGGATGAGGTGGTATCATGGTCAGGACAGATGGAAGATCAGAGACAGGAGGTCCAAACAAGGCCGGTGCAGGGACTGAGATGAGGCATGAGCAAGGCAGAGGTCCAGAGGCACAAACAAGAGTGTTGTTGCTGGGACAAGTCCCACAGGATGTAGGAGGGGTTTATATACCTCCTGTCAGGGGCTCTCAGTTCTTCCTGGTCACTTGACTTATTAACGTCCTCATGGGAGGGACCAGGCTGGGATGGGGCTGGTATCTGACCAGGCAGCTGGTGGTACCATGGACTTCACCTCTGTTTGCTGGCTTGGCTGCTCTGGGTTTGAATCCAAGCGGTCCTAACAAGGAACTTTCCCTGCATGTTGAAAGTCCCCAAAAAGCTAATACTCACTTATGTTTGGGGATCTGATATAATCTCTTTGGGTTCATTTTAAAGTTTGGGTTCAGATTTTGAGTCCTCTAAAGACAGAGGTGTTTTATTCAGAGCTATCTTTAAAAACTAACCTCTCTGCACTTCCTGGCTTTGGCTAGGGCCAGAAGCAGAACATTTTAAATACCCAAGGAGGAACTGGGGCTTCTCTCACAGGGCCTACTCTTATGAGACTTCTGAAGTAAAGTGACTTAGATCAAATTAACTGAGCTTTGAGTACAACTGCTGTGATCTGTTTGAACACTCAGACTTTTTCAAATGCCACTGTGACGGGGGGCCTGCTCAGGGCCGAACTCTGTGGCCCGCCCCCCTGTCACTGGGCAACCGCCCGCCTATCTCGCCCGCCACGCCTTTGATGATAATTGATTCAATCTGATGTCAATTAAGCAGGAGGCTGCCCATCTAGTGCCATGATGCCAGGGGGCGCTCTCTGCAGCTCCTATCCTCCCCAATACCGCAGCCCAAGCCTCGCAGATGGCATCTTGGTGTTCACATAATCACCGGCCCCACACTGGGCCCCAGAATCATCGACATAGGACCCCTCTATGGTCCTCTCCTATCAGGCAGCCACTCGGCCTTCATCCGGGCTACCTAGGCCCCCCAAAGCCATGTTCCCCTCTCAGGTGTGGTCCCCCCGGGACCTTTGGCCACTTGCCCTGGCCCACCTCCAGGCCAGTCAGGACCCCAGGCCCCCGGCTCTTGGGCATCCCTCACGGTGGGCCCCTGGCCCTTTTGACTCTCCAAGTCCTGGCCCCAGCTTGGGCCAGTCAAGGGTACTCTACTCCAGGCTGGTCTCTAGCCCCTCACTCTGTCTCCTCAGGCTTCACCGTGCCACTACTCCCTTTCTCCAAAGGGGCAACCGCAGCACCACGCCCTATACACCATCACACTCTCAGGGTCCACCCTCTGGGCCCCTCCAAACACTCAGGGTCACCCACCCAGCAGTGGGAGCTAGGGGTTAAGGTGCCCAGACCCACCTTCCACCAGGGTGGTAACTGACCTGGCATTTCCTGGGGGCCCCCACACCACTGAGAGCCCCACCAGACCACCCACTCCCAGCAGGGTGCAGTTTCAGGTCATGCCCAGGACCAGGAGCCACCTTACCAACCCCTTGCAGCTCCCCCTTTACCTCCAGGTTGTTCCCAGCAGCCCTCCAGCCAGGCAATGTTGCTGCCTGGCTTCCTGCAGTCAAACTGCCCTGTTTATATAGGCAGCCCTTGCCTCAAAATGGCTGCCCTCATCAGGCACCTGGAGGCTGCCAGCTCCAGGCCCTTAAAGTGGCAGACACACCCTGTGCTCTGCCACAGCCACCCATCTCATGATCCTGACCCCCTCTCATTATTTTTTTCATTAGATCAGTGATATGTCAGCTGGCTGGGCTCTTGGGTACATGCTGAATCTGACCAACACCATCCCTGAAGATGAGCTAATCCTTCTGAAAGGGATTGAAAATGGGGTTTGGTCATTACTCCTCATCCTTTTGGTTCTGCTGCTCACTGGCTCCTTCATGCGCATTTCATACCGAGTGGTGGTAAAGGATGATGCGCACCTGGAGAGATGAAGGACTCCTCCATGAGATTCCAGTGACCTGGGAGGTTATTTCAATCTGCTAACAGGCTGCAGGATTGTAAATAGAGACAGGGGACCTTGTTCTGCAGGAGATCTCAGATCCAGACATGTAGCAAGCTAGCTGCTATCCTACACCAGTGGAAGAAGAGAAGCTGCATAGCTGTTGTCCAAAGCTCTTTATTGTCCATTCCCCCCCCCTCCCCAGTCACCTCACCAAAAGGCAAAGAATGAGAAGGGACTTTCAGAATTCAGGGCAAGAAGGGAATTCTGTCAGCCGGGCCTCCTCACTGGACCAATCATACTATAAATTCTTACATGGATGCCATAGAAAGTTCCTGGTAAGTAGCCCTGATTGCTGTGAACGCATTGGTAGACAGTTTCCTCTGGAGCTGTGAAGGCAGATCTGAGTGGAAAGGGCTCTATTCTCAGTCACTCCTAGAGCAGCCATAGGGTGTCTTGCTGGAAATCAGTTACTCTCTATTTACAACTTTTTAACTGGTCCATCTGAACCAGTTGGAAATCTGTAAATGACAGGAAACTGGTCTTGAGTTCTTTGGAGAATCTGACCCATCAATGCCAAGCAGAACCATTTTGGTTTTGTATGAGAACAAGTCTTAAATTGTCTGTACGAAATGCTGATGAAATGTTAGCCGGCGCAAGGGAACATCAGATTAGGACTGAGGTATTCTGAAAACAGCCATAATGTAATTGCAATTGGCTTTTGATGTTCTGGTTAGGAAAGCAGTTTATTAGTCTTGGTAACAACAATCCATTTGTCTTCCATCTTACTTTTAACAATGAGTGTCCACACGAGTTGTCCTGGCAACCTATTTTTTCTCATAGGTAAGAATCTTAAAAAATAAATGATTTTTATCATCTTTATTTGAAAATATTGCTATTACTAATTTTCATCACGGTATCACCTCAGGCTCCAGGGCCCAGCTGTGATAGGTGCTGTACATACACATTTGAGTGCCAGTCTCTGTTCCAGGATCTTCCAAGCTAGGAGGACAATGCAATGAAACATGGTAGGGAAACTTGAGGGGTGAAGTTGTTTGCCCGAGGTTATGCAGCATGTCAATGGCAGAACCAGGAATAGCACTCAGGACTCTTGCTTCTGGTTCAGTGACTGGCCTGTTAGACCATGATTTTAAGTTACACAGTTGTCTACATTTCCAACCATGTACTTCTGGCCTGCCATGTTGCTGCAACATTCTTGGAATACAGGGCTTCTGGGAATGACGTCATGTCATTACTTAATCGTTGCCTTTGATGCTTTGCCATCTTCTGTGATGATAACCTTTGTTTGGTAACACGAATTCTGGGAACATAGTAGTGGTATAGGCACAACCCAGGACATTTCAAACTGCTGCAGAAGGATTAAAAGAGAATCCCTCAAGTAAAGAATGTAGGGTGCAATTTCCAAAAATGTCTCAGGACTTCAGAGCACAAGTTCCACTAAAAGTCAATGGAACTAGTGCTTCTAAGTCACATACAACCAGATTTGCCTAAAGGTGTGGAGGAGTGGTTGACAGGATATTGGAAAGTGTCCTGGCTCACTTCTTTAAAGGGGAGTTTGGTACCTGGCACTTTTGAAAATCCTACTAAACACCGATTAGGTTCTTTTAGGTGCCTAAATGCCTGTAAACATATGACCCTAAAGCACATGAAAACAGAGCTTGACCCCTACATCATTCAGATGCTTTCAGAACGAATATTGCTGTGTTTATAAATTCACATAACAAGGCAGTTCATGCATTTCAGGGTAGCTAAGTAAGGGTCTGAAGCCCCTCAGGGGAGTTTGGAGAAGGATAGGGAAGCAGAGTTAAAACGGAGTTAAAGCAGAGTTAAAACTTTGGCTATATATTTTGAGCAGCATATTGGTTATTTTTAACTGTAACATTTCATTAAAGTTATTTTAATAGGCAGCTTGTGCTATTTACCACTGATCAATATGGGTTTTTCTTTGTTGTTGATACTTACAGTTTTTGTGAAGAATGGGAACGATTTCTATCTTATTTTTATGAATACTGCATGCACCTGTGTTCATGACTGTTATGCTGTCTTTTGCCTGGATTCAAAGAGCTATCACCTGAAAGAGCTCTCTCTCCTTGGCAGGAAGGCTTAGGCCAGTGATTCTCAGCCAGAGTGTCTTGAGATCCTTTTAAGGGTACCATGGGGCCCATACAATGTTAGCACGGTTAGATGTGCAAACATGATTCACAAGATAAACCCAGAGATTTTGAATAGGAGTTTATAGTGTTTAAAACATTCTGACCTGTTGTAGTTTTTTCTCAGATTTGGGCAACAGAGTAATTGCTCTGTTATTTTCCTGTACTTTAAAAGGAAGAGTGAAAATGAAGAGCTGGCATTTTCTGTGGAATATCTTGAGTCCAACAAGAAGTTTCAAGATGTTAGGGACTATGAAACAAGAAGTTTCATAGATGTTAGGGACTGGAAGGGACCTTACAGGATCATCAGGTCGAGCCCCCCTGCACTTGGGCAGGGAAGACTGCTGGGGTCAGATGACCCCAGGAAGATGGGCATCAAGACACTTTTTGAAGATCGCCAGGGTGAGTGACTGTACCACCCCTGGGGGAGTCTGTTCCAGACCCTCAGCATTCGACTTGTAAAGATTTTTTTCCTTATATCCAGTCTGAAGCAATCTTCAACCAGTTTGTGCCAATTGTTTCTTGTCTTCCCCTGGGGTGCCTTGGTGAACAGGTTCCTTGAGTCTAAAAAGTTTGCAAAACACTGCTCAAGGCAATCCAGTCTATGGTACCTAATTGGTCTTGTACCTGCCAGTGCCCTTTACCTTTGACCAACCAAAGCTCAGCAGTCCTGTCTGCAATGGGGGAGGGAAGATTCATACATATTTGGGTCAGAAGGGACCTCAGTAGATCACTGAGTCCAACCCCTTGCCCTTGGTAGAAAAGAGCACTGGGGTCAGATGACCCCAGCCAGGTGGTAGGGGTTCAGGCAGGATTCTGCAAAAAAAACTCTTAAGGATGTAAAACCCTGATGCCTTGAGATCAAGGGAAAGCTAATGTCTGGAGGTGCAGAAGGAATCATACTCCCAGAAGCATGAGCACTCAGAAGCATGAGCTGCCCCTACAGTCTGATGGAAATACTCAGTGTGAAATAGGATGAGTATGGAAAGCTTTTTCTGATTCCTAGGGACAGAAAAACACAATTTTGTTTGGAAGAAGCTGCTATAAGTAAAATAATTGCAGCCCCTAAAATTTCCTAACACCCAATTGAATCTGCTGAAGAAGAAAACACAGTCAGTAGACATGGAAGATTGCAGCACAGAAACACAGTCAGGGAGTGTGACTAATTTGAAATTCCATATTGAGAGGGAGCAGAGGCAGATGATTTTAGATTATTAAAGGGATGGGTGTTTCTGGTAAGAAATGTATGCTATCCTGATACCAGAGAGGCCTACATTCCTCTTGCTTGGACCACTGGTGACTCTGTATGTTGCAGAAGTGGTATGCTGGGTGTCCAGAGTAACAGCAGCTGTGTAGGCAGGGCGGAGAAGGAGTGAGTTATGTTGTTTTCAGGTTTCTTCTTTACCATGGCATGTCATGGTACTAGAGTTGTCTGATTTTCAATATTTTTGATTTTCCAAGGAGCTTTGCCATTTAAAATTTCCCCAGGAAATAAACAAACAAACTGAAATTCAGAAAAACTTGAGTGATAGATCCTGGCAAAGTGGGGTTCTGAAAGAAGGCAGCTCCTAAAGTGAAGAGACAGATAGTATTCTATGCACAGATCCTTTGGAAAACAGCTCCGATTTAGAGGGAACCAGGGGGAGAACTAGAAGAACGAACAGGGAACCCACAGCTGGGGTACTGTGTCCAGTTTTGGGCTCCACGATTCAAAAAGGATGTGGAGAAGCTTGAGAGAGTCCAGAGAAGAGCCACGGGCATGGTCAGAGGTCTGGAAAACAGACCTTATGATGGGAGGCTGAGAGCCATGGGACTCTTCAGCCTGGAAAAGCACAGGCTCAGGGGCGATCTGATGGCCACCTATAAGTTTATGAGGGGTATTCACCAGGATCTGGGGGAATGTTTTTTCACCAGAGCACCCCAAGAGATGACAAGGTCGAGCGGTTATAAACTCCTGCAAGACCGTTTCAGGCTGGACACAAGGAAGAACTTCTTTACTGTCCGAGCCCCCACGCTTGGGAAACCCTGCTGCCGGATGTGGTTCAAGCACCTATTTTGAATGCCTTCAAGAGAAATCTGGATGTTTTTCTTGCTGGGATCCTATGAGCCCAGCTGACTTCCTGCCCTTGGGGCAGGGGTCTGGACTCGATGATCTTCCAAGGTCCCTTCCAGCCATAATGTCTATGAACAGGAGGCATCAAGACAAGGATTTTCATATCATTCCCTAACTTTCATGAGTGTCCCTAAGGACCATGGGTGTGTCCAGATGTGCATGGATGTTTGATTCCCCGGGGATAAGTAGCAGCAGCGTGCTTTGCGCTGCTGCTTCTTGTCCCCGGGGAATACTCGTGCCACATGTGCTTTGGTGCACAAGTTGCCCTGGGTGGCATAGGAGAGGGGCCCCAGAAGCCTTACCTGGGGTCCTGGGGGCCTCCTGGAGCTGCAGCCATGGCAATCCTGCTGGGTGGAGCCTGGCTGTCAGCTGCAGTGTGGCTCTGAGTGGCCCGGCTCTGCTTTTTAGCAGAGCATGCTGCCTTAGTGTGTGCTGCTTTGGGTTTTTTTTCTCATGGCTTTTTTGACCCTGGATATCCAGGGGTAAAAAAAAAGAATCAGAAAAAAACAAAACGAAACAGATCAGCACATGCTCAGGCAGCATGCCCTTGCAGCACAGAGAACTCCGAACTGTGCGGTATGTGGTGCTGCAAATGAGTTGGACACGCCCCATGGGTGCACTTGTCAAGGCTGAAGTTTGCTTCAGACTGAAAATCTCTTCTGAACTTAGTCTGTGTTTTGCTCTACTGTTAGGTGAGTATGCAGGCATACTAAGAGTTTCTTCAGGCTTTTTTCTGCACTTTTTCACTCATGCAGCTAGTCCCTTTAATTAACTAGTCAGCCAAACAAGTGCTTACTGGTTTAACTCTCCATAGCTACATGACTTTACTACGGATTTTCAAACTAGGTTACCACAGGCAAAGTTTCTTACTGAGTAGCACAATTCATTGCAGATTGCTGATGGAAGAAGTAAAAAAATTCCTTATTTGCTTCCCCCTACATTGATGCATTGTGCACCTGGGCATACACATGATGGGGTCAGAGCCTGGATATCTCTAGTGTTAAATTTCTAGGTCCACTGCAAAATTCTCTTCTCCTGTGCTTCTGAGAGATGATTGAATTGAAGACAACCATTAACAGCTGCAATGGAAGAGTTCTGTTGATGACTATCAAAGAGGGAATAATCCAAGGGGACTGTTTACTTTGATTTCATTGGGCGTGTGCACACATGCAAGCACGTGCTTTTGCAGCAGCCCAAATAGAAGCAGTCCAAATTTGAGCCGGGGCTTTTTGCCTCAGCACACGTGCCCGGACATGCACTTTGGTGTGGGGCAAATTGTGCCACTTGGGGCAAAATAACCCTGCCTGGCTCCTCCTGGATCTGCAGCCCAGGACCAGCACCTGTGCTGTCTCCAGCAGTATAAAAAGCTGCCCTGTCCTGGCCTCAGCAGTACAAAAAGCTGCCCTGTCAAGTAGCTTGGGGCTATTTGCTCTCAGGAGCTTCTGGGGCCCAGCCAGTTGGTACCTGGGGACATTACCTCTTGTGGCAGCTGGACTGCTGAAGCAGCCCTGAGAGTTCCCTGCACCCTCTACCCACTGCAGCAGTCTGGCGGTGAGGGCTGCTGCCTGGCTGTGACCTGCTGTGCACCTGCCAGACCCAGATAGGGACTGCACAGCCAGTAGAGGTATCTGCCCCTCTAGGCCAGCTGCCAGTGGCTGGGGGTGGCGGGGGGGGGGTTTTGGCCATGTGTGCCCCTGCCCAGCCATCTTGGCAGCTATCACCTGGAAGATGTTCCCAGTGCAGTGGCCTGCTTTGAACTGTCAAAGCATATCCTCCTGACCCCAGTTGGCCAGGAGGTCAGCCACCTCCAGCTGGGCCCAAGGTGCAAGCTCTGAGCAGCCTCCTCTGCCTGAGTCCTGCCATTGGCCTCCCTAGCAGGAATTCTGGTGTTCCCTATTGGAAAACTGAAAAATCCCTGATAAAGAAATCCCAAAGTCACTCCGTAAAATACCCCGAAATCCATGTTCCTCCACAATTAAAAAAAAAGACCACTATATAGAGAGAGAGAGAGAGTGAGAGAGAGATCAGTTGGGAAATGTTTTATTGATATATCTAGAGTGTTAAAGCAATTTGGAAGCCTACCAGTGTCTCTATCATCATAATAAAATTAATTCTAAATACCTATATGTTTTGCTGTTTGCCTCTGTTTTTGTTTTTTTTTTTACCATAGAGCAGTTAGAGCTCCCTGTGACCCCTTCACTAACCAGGATGTAGGGATAGCTGCCCCAGCAGCCACGGCTCCTGCCAGCAGGTCTAATCCTGTCTGACAGCTGGACACACAGGGTGTATGCTGGGGGAATGTGGGGTTTGCAGGAGGAGGGTAGGAGGGGAGGTGGGGGGATGTGGAGGGCTGTGAGGTGTGTGGGTAGGTGTGGATGGATTGCGGAGGGACTGTGCAGGGGGGCTGCTCGGGAGGGGAGGGTCCCCTGCCCCCACAGGGTGCAGCCCCCCTGCACAGCTCACAGACTGCCCCCCACAGGGGCTACAACCCCCACACAGGGGCTACAGCCCCCTAGCCCATAGCCCCCACAGGGGGGACAGCCCCCCCCACAGGGGCTACAACCCCCCCAACAGGGGCCACATGGCCCCCACAGGGGCTACAGCCTCCCCACAGGGGCTATAACCCCCCCAACAGGGGCCACATCCCCCACCCCTGCTTACTCCCCCAATCCCCCGGATTGCTGCCTTGCCTGGCCCCATCCCCTGCCAGCAACTGCAGCCCCCTGATGGCTTCCCCACACAGCCCCACTCCCTGCCTGCACCCCCATCCCTGATGGCTGCCCTACCCAACCCCGGCCTTCCAGCACTTAAAAAAAAAAAAAGCCAAAAAAAAAAAGCATTGTACTCACTGGCAGTACGGGGG